GATCTTAAATAAACAATGTCAAGATATGATACAGTCCATTATTCTGTAAATGAAGTAGATTTAATATGGTGTTCATTGTGTGTTATAAATAATCATACTCTTAAACGTTATAACCACAAATGCGTAAGTATTACAATGTATTATAATTGTTGTTATGATTATTTATCAGACGATACAACATATTATAAGGTTTTTTATAATGCATTATGCATTCATTATAATGCCTTAAGAATACCCTTATAATGTGTTATATATACAGGCTTCATAGAAAGTGTTACCCAAATGTCCACTTAATCTTTAATATTTGGCCATTTCTTTACGACAGAAATGCTACAGCCACTGTAATTTCTTTAATGTGGACATCAAAACGTGTAACTCAGAGCGACGGTTTAAACTTTTTTGAATTTGCGATGAACAGTTAGCATATTGAGAAAGATAATGATGTGTTCGCCTGTGTTTGCGTAGGTTTATAAATTATTTACCTTACAAATCTGATGAAATGGCGCACGTTGCGTTCCCAGATGTAATAAAGCCAAACTCACAGCAATTTGCAAAGAGACGCTTCACACATGTAAATGATAACCGTTCGTGTGGAGCAGCATTTACTGTGAACGGAGCCACTCTGACACGCACGTACGTAACCTACACGCATGTAAATAATTAAAGCGCACATATTAAACCTGCATCGCATATGTTTATTTAATTGAATTGTAGCGTTTATGAATTCACAGTAGCATTGTGCTTTATTATGATTTTAAAATGGGTTTAATATATCATGCAGCCTTGGAAAATTGAAATAATGCGTTTCATGGATTCTCGTCCGTGGAATGCGCCACTTCCAGTATTTTGCCAGTTACTCGACGCGGACATATTGCAGTCGAGGATTTTTTTTTTTTTAAATCGAGTACCCGAATTGAATCGAGGAATCGTGACAGCCCTAGTTTATATGGTTTTTATTAATTTTTCTTTTAGTTTGTTATTTTAATACCTGAAGGTTTTTATATTTTATTTTATTTCAGTTAACGTTTATTTTTATTTTAAGTAAAGGCAATGTTTATGGTTGTAGTTTTACTTTTATTAACTGTAATAACCCTGCACCTTATTATTATTCAAAATGAGCTCTGCTACACTGACTCACTCATTAATTGATTTACTTTCTCTAATGTAAGGTAACGAAGCCCACTTCTCCTTGGAAACGGCATCGGATTATGTGAAAGACGAGAAAGCCTGTTTCTATGGATTCAAATGTGTAGCTGTCGGTTATGAGTTTAACCCTGGTCTTGATGAGGTATGAAATTCAATATGGATGTGTCTAAAACCTGAGCCCAATGCATGAAATGAAGTATCAATGTTTGAGGAGCCCATTTTTACCTACTTTTTACCCTATGTGGCCTCGCACTGTTAAATGACATAATTTGCAGGTCAACATTTATAGAAATATATCGAAAAGAAACATGAGCGCTGCTGTTGTTCATACAAGCATGTGTATAGAACTGTGGCTGGAAACAGTTTCAGCTTGGACATCCTAAATGAAGTTATTATATATTTACCACTACCAGCATCTCAATTATGGATTGCTTTGGACCAGAGAAAGGATTAGTGATCCATACTGCATATGTATTTGAAGCATCTGTCATGTGGCTATAAATCTAAATGTAATATAAATGTGGCTATGGTTTCAGGGAATTATTCAGCTGGAGAAGGAATTGGCCTATTTGGGAAGCGTGTGTGCAGATGCACTCATGAAAAAGGATCTTGCCCTACCCATAGGTAAGAATGACTGCTACTTTCCAATGCTGGAGAAGAAACCGTAATGATACAATCTGCTCATAATTTAAAGCTCAAACTGCTCATAATTAATTTTTTTTAAATACCTTTTAAAACATACAATACCATTCACAGCAAAGACACACTACATTTATAAAAAGTGACAGTAAAGACATTTGTTACAAAAGATTTCTGTTTGAAAAAAAAAATGTATCTCAGTTTCCACAAAACTATGAAGCAGCACAACATTGATAATAATCAGAAATGTTTCTTGAGCAGCAAATCAGCATATTAGAGTGATTTCTGAAGGATCATGTGACACGGAAGACTGGAGTAATGATGCTGAAAATTCAGCTTTGATCATAGGAATAAATTACATTTCAAAATATATTTAAACAGAAATCAGTTATTTTAAATTGTAGTAATATTTCTCAATGTGACTGTTTATTAAATTAATCAAATTTATGGTAACACTTTACAATAAGGTTCATTAGTTAACTACTTTAGATGAACTAAAAATGAACAATACTTCTACAGCATTTATTAATCTTAGTTAATGTTAATTTCAACATTTACTAATGCATTCTTAAAATCAAAAGTTGTGCTTGTTAACATTAGTTAATGCGCTCTGAATTAACATGAACTAACAATTAATAACTATTTTCATAAAATAACATTAAAAAGCAGGTCATATGGCTTTTCGACAAATATATTTTTTGCAGTTTGTAACGTAGCTATCCTTCAATGTAAACAGTCTGCAACGTTGTTAATCAAAAAAGTGCATGATAAAGATATTGTTTCTCAAAAGAAAGAGTCGACTCTGAACCACCTTAACGAGTCGTCATATTTTCGAATCTTCTGCCTGTTACCTACAGTGGTGTGAAAAAGTGTTGGCCCCCTTCCTGATTTCTTATTTTTTTGCATGTTTGTCACACTTTAATGTTTCAGATCATCAAACAAATTTAAATATTAGTCAGAGATAACACAAGTAAACACAACATGCAGTTTTTAAATGAAGGTTTTTATTATTAGGGCCAACACTTTTTCACACCACTGTATATACGTCACAAGGTAGCACATTTACATAATCCCCGCCTGCCTGCGAAATACGAACACGTATAAGTCTCTGATCCATAACCTTCATTAGTCGATGGCGGTAATGCTCTTTTTAAGATTGCTATCTTCCAATAAACACACAAAGAAGAAGAAGAAATACGAACACTCTGACCTGCCCACAAACACTTCCGCTAGTTAGTGTTTACATCATGTCGAGAAGACACTGTGTTTTCAGCCTCACTGGGCATACTACCACAATTCCCACACGTGCACCTCAAATAAGTAAATAATAATAATGAATGCAATAAAGCTGCTGTCATATCACGTAAAGTACCACATGCAAAGTTTAAACTTACCACTGAGAAACGTCTTGATCAAGTCGTGCTTGCGATGGAGTTTCTGGTTGAGCGACTGCATCAGTATCATCCTTGGACTCGGGCTCGAATTGATAAAGTAATATTGATGCCATTTTTGTAACCTTATAGCTTATTTGTTTACAAGTAACCCTCCGGAGCAAAAAATCTATTATGGTAATGGACGTTTCGTTTCCGACACTCATTGTGTACAGAAAGACCAATCACAACAGACTTGGCCAGCTGACCAATCAGAGCAGAGTTGGCTTATGGAAGGGAGGGGTTTACAGTTCTTAAGCTCAGAACTGCTTCGAACGAATCGTTTCGAAATCATTGAAAAATTATTCTAATATTAAATGTATATTCTGAGAAAATTACAGTTTTCTGACCTTAGATGCATTTAAACCCATTGTAGGGGACTCCAACACAATATTAGGACACTTTAAAATACCATATGACCTGCTCTTTAACAAAGATTAATAAATGCCATAATAAATGTATTGTTCATTGTTTGTTCATGTTAGTTGATACATTAACTAACATTAAGTAATGGAACCTTATTGTAAAGTGTTACCAAATGTATTAAATGTATAAAAATAATTGTTGATTCATTGATTCATTTGAATGGTAACAACTCTACAGTTTCTTATTATTCTGAATTAATTTAAACAATGTTGATGTGAAAGATGACATTTAATAAGCTTAGGAAAGAAAAATTATAAACATAGTGGGAAATTACATCTGTTTTGTTATGCAGCAACTCATTTCTACCTCTTTCCAGTCACAGAGCACTTTGTTTTAAGAGTTGTTTAAGTGAGAGAGCATCTGTAACTTAGTCCAGATTAGGGGAATTATGTAATAGTTTTTTGCATTGAAAAAAAGTTGATTTTTGTTTGTATATGCTGTCAATTATAGTTCTTAGAAAGAAAATCGGAATCGGCCAAGAAAATTGCAATCGGTGCATCTCTATTTATAACTGACCCTAATTTATATTCTTCTATTTACTAAATTCTGTTTTCTATTCCAAATTTTAATTGAGCTAAATATTTCCCTTAAAGAATTTTCAAATTAATCCATTCATATATGTGAACCTTCCGAATAAACTGATCGAAACAAACTCGAATGAAGTTTTTAAAAGAGAGTGGGTTTGAATATTTCCACAGCTTACTGTAAAGCATAACACAATTTGACATTTAAACAACAGTTTTGTGTTTTGTCACGGTACACTGCAACTTCTTAGGTCTTAAAAAGTAGCTTGTTACTGGAAAAGCTACATTGTTTGAAACAACTGAGCTACTGTCACGCTATTGACAAAGGAAGTTAATTTATTATTTCCTTCACTGGTGGCACTGATAAAATGATAAGCACGAACTTTGTCTTCTTCATCTGATTATATGAATTATGTACCATCTTACAGGAAATGAACTGGAGGAGGATTTGGAGATTTTAGAGGAGGCCTCACTCCAGGTACTGAATTAGAAATAGTTTTGGTGTTTGCGAGTGCAGTATCATCATCATAGTGAAGCTCTAATGGTGTGTTTGTGTCGAGCAGGTGTGTAAAGGCCACTCAGGGCTCCTGGGGAAGGGACTGGCACTCTCTCACTCTCCCTCAATCCTAGAGGCACTGGAGGGGAACCTGCCACTGCACCTGCAAACTAACGAACACTCCTTCCTAGAGGACTTCATCACCTGTGTGCAGAACTCCAGCGGTGGGCGGCTCGCCAGGTCTGCCTCGAACATATTTTTTAGCTCCCTTTATTCATAAAGAATCTAATATGTACCGTCTATACATCCTTTAATACCTGGCCCTCATTCTAGCATCTTTACCATTCTGCCATCCCAGGTGGCTTCAGCCAGACTCCTACGCAGACCCCCAGAAGACCTCGCTCATCCTGAACAAAGATGACATCCGCTGTGGCTGGCCCACTACTGTTGTGGTGCAGACCAAAGACCAATATGGAGATGTTGTGCATGTGCCAAACATGAAGGTTAGCATCTTTCTTGAATCAAACAGTGTGTTATGAAACCAGCACATCTAAGCATCTCTGCTCTGTGTTTGTAGGTTGAAGTCAAGGCTGTTCCTGTCTCTCAGAAGAAGTCCATCCAGCAGGAGAACATGAAGAAGCTGCAGCGTTTGCCAGGCAGCTCCTCTAATTCCACATCAGGCACTGATCTCACCTACGGTGGCCACCCACCGCCCAAACTGGAGGCGACATATGAGCCCATGATCATCAAAGAGGCCCGTTATATCGCCATCACCATGATGAAGGTTCCTCTCATCTCTTGACTTGATAATTACGGTAGCTACAAAAATGAGTTGGACTGGGGCTGCCCAATTGATTAATATAAAGCTGGAAACGTGATATGGCTTAGTGCAATTATCAAATTGCAAAGGCTGCAGTTTAATTTTACTATACCGGTAATTCTTCTCATTTTTAACCATCTTCCCAAACTTGTAATGAGAAGCAACAACAAAAGAGAAGTTTTAATGGCTCTCTGCAGTTTTATGTCCAAAAAAAGTTCAATAATTTAACGTTTGACAATGAAGAAACTAAGCCAGCCATAAATATTGGTATTGTAATTTTACAGTTAGGATGTAAAATAAAATAAAATAATTATTATTGTTTTTTTTAAAACATCTATTTTTCTCTGTTAAAATATAGATATTTTTTTATTTTCCAAGTGAGATATTACAATAATATATTTATTTGAACACTTAAGTCACACTTAAAGTTGTTTATAAATTAAAATTAGCAACAGATCTTTTCTTCTGTATCATGATGGTACAACCAAGTGAAAAATGCATGGATGAATCATTAACTATAAGATCAATAGCATGCATTTACAAAATATATAGGGGGAATTCTCATTGCATGTCGACTTTAAAAATGCATGCATGTCATTGCATTAGATAAATCACTTGCTTTTTTATTTATCCAGGCATATGAAAATTACTCCTTTGAAGAGCTTCGCTTCGCCTCACCGACACCAAAGAGGTTCAAAGATTACTGTTCTACCTGTCACATATAAATTACAAACAAATTCAAATATAAGAATAGGCTTCATGTTCAGATGGTTTGCTTTTTACTCAGACCCAGTGAGAACATGCTTATCCGGGCAAACACAGACGGCACCTACAGCGCTAACTGGACCCCTGGTGCTGTTGGGCTTTACACCATTCATGTGACCATCGATGGCATTGAGATTGGTAACTGCTTTTCACTATTTATTAATCTTCTTAATCGAAATTTGTAATTTTTATTTTTTTTATTTTTTTTTTTTTAGAAAATGTAAAACATTGTGTTTACATGATAAAATGATTTATAGCCGTTGTGTATAAAGTCTTTGCTGTTTTAAAACAGTGTAGTAACTCTTGATATTGGGTTTGGGTTTGCTGATGAGAATAATGTATGTTCAGATGCTGGTCTGGAGGTCGAGGTCAAAGACCCTCCCAAAGGAATGATCCCTCCAGGCACACAGTTGGTCAAACCTAAAGCTGAACCTCAACCTAGCAAGGTGAGCTCCCAAATTCCTAAGCGGCTGCTCAGTCTGATATATCGGGTCTGACCACTTCAGCCGTTCATTTTACACGACCTTTCAAAAGTTTGGGGTTTCTAAGACTTTTTGAAATAAGTCTCTTCTGCTCACCAAGGCTGCATTTATTTGATGAAAAATACAGTTAAACAGTAATATTTTAAAATATTATTACAATTTAAAATAAATGTTTTCTATCTTAAAGTCCCCCTGTAGTGAAAATCAAGTTTTTGATGTTGTTTATTTGTCTATGTGGTGTTTTTAATATGCTTTTAGACAAACCATGTGCCAATCTTATAAATATTTTGTAATTATTTTACGCTGAGTTTACACCTAGCACTTAGGTTTACTTGAGGGACTACATGGAATTTATGTATATAATTTTTTTTGGTACGTTTGTTTCTGTTTATTGGTGAACTATGAACTATTGCTACAGTGCTATTTATACTTACCAGTGCAAATAGTGTTACTTTTTATTTCTTTACTGTGTATTGAACTGGGAAACAAGCAACACAACTGCACAAACTCAGATGTTATTCGAGTCTTCAAGGCATTTTAGGACACAACATCAGTCAAGTAAGTAACTTTAACGAATGTTACAGTATTCACTGTAGTTGTCCGCTAGTAAAAACATAGTTTTATCAGGTATTATCCGTGTATGATTGTTTTGCATTTACTACAGAGTTCAGTGGATCAGGAGGCGCTGGCTGGTGTGACTGAGTGGAGGCAGGAATAATTTGCATATTCATAGATCAGCGTATAGTAAATGAGGCAAGGGTGTAGAGTTACATTCAAGCTATTTTAAGGCATGAGAAAATTATTTTCACAAGAAAAAACATTTAAATATGTCATTTTGATGATCAAAGATAAGTTTTAAGGGATAAAATATTTGACTACAGGAGGACTTTAATATATTTTCAAATGTAATTTATTCCTGTGTTGCAAAGCTGAATTTTCCTTACTCCAGGCTTCATCGTCACACGATCCTTCAGAAATCATCCTGATATGCTGATTTGCTGCTCCAAAAACATTTCTTCTTATTATTAATGTTGAAAACATTTGTGCTGCTTAATATTTTTATGAAAACCACGACACTTTTTTTTCAGGATTTTTTAATGAATAGGAAGTTTAAAAGAACAGCATTTATTTGAAATAGAAATCTTATATTAACATTATAATATTTTTCAATGCGTCTTTACTGTATAAAGTATTAATTTCATTAAAAAAATCATCCTGACCCCAAACTTTTCAAATGTAGTGTAAATGTTCGCAACTGGACTGCTATTCTCTGGAAATGATGATCAAAAATGTTTTCCGTTAAAGAAGATGGTATATGATTACAGCATTTATTTTATGAATTTTATGACGATGAATACTTTCTGGAAATTGACATCCTGTGGCTTGACATGCTAACATCCATCTGAAACTTTTTTTAAACAGGATTTTAGTAATTATTTATTATTTGATTATTATAAATATTTTGTAATTATTTTACGCTGAGCTTACACCTAGCATCTAGGTTTACTTGAGGGACTACATGGAATTTATGTATATAATTTTTTTTGGTACGTTTGTTTCTGTTTATTGGTGAACTATGAACTATTGCTACAGTGCTATTTATACTTACCAGTGCAAATAGTGTTACTTTTTATTTCTTTACTGTGTATTGAACTGGGAAACAAGCAACACAACTGTGCAAAATCAGATGTCTTTCCTGCTCTTTGCTGCTGAATGTCTCTCAGATGGACTGATGTTTTTCTCGTCTGACAGGAAGTGCGGGTTCTGTTCTCTCTGTGCTGTGAGTCCTCGCTCTCTGACTGCAGCTTCCTGCCATCTTCTCATCTGTCTCTCTGTCTCTGCTTCTCTCAGGTGCGCAAATTTGTGGCCAAGGACAGCGCAGGGCTGCGCGTGCGTAGTCACCCCTCTCTGCAGAGCGAACAGATAGGCATAGTCCAAGTCAATGGCACCATCACATTCATTGACGAGGTAAACCGCACTAGAATAGGGCCAAACTGTTCTGAATTCAAGTCCTTTTTTTGTTTTCTCTTTCTTTAATTTTTTGTTTTCTCTTTCTTTAATCTGTGAACATGATTAATGAATGCTCTGTTTTAAAACAAAAGGCTTTTAAAACGATTTCTGCATCTCTCTATGCTTTCAAATTGACTTTTGATTTGGTCAGAAGCATTTATTTGCCTATCCTTTGCTTCATTCACATGCAGGAGACTTTGAGGCTGTAGTTAAATCTCAAATAGATACTATCTCTCCCAGCCAATTTCTAAAAAGCCCATTTCTGCATGCCAAACACTCCTAGCTTCTATTAGACCCAATCTCACATCTGCAGTGCTGTCGGTTGCTCTGAAGACCCTTTCACATGACAGCTAGAGCCTTACCACGAAACTCGGCTCAACCGTATGCCGTTGACCTTTCAAAGCACACCTAATTGGACAAACTGCATGACGTTTGCATGACAGGTCAAACTATATATAACAAAAACACCTAGCAGTCAAAATTTTGGACACACTTAATGGAATTTTTTTATTTTTTATTTTATAGAATACTTTGTATATTTATCTTATTAATTACATTATGTATTATCTATTAATAATTGTTACTTATTGTTTTTATATTTATACACTACTGTTCAGAAGTTTGGTCAATAAGATAGTTTTAGGTTTATAGAAGTCTCTTGTTCTGCATTCATTTGATTAAAAATACAGTAAAAACAGTAATATTGTAAAATATTTTTACAATTTAAAATAACTGTTCTAATCTACGTTTTAATATATTTTAAAAATGTAATTAATTTCTATGATCAAAGCTGAATTTTCAGTTTCTCCAGTCTCCAGTGTCACATGATCCTTCAGAAATCATTCTAATATGCTGATTTGCTGCTCAAGAAACATTTATTATTATATTATTATTATTATCAATGTTGAAAACAGTTCAAATGCTGCTTAATATTTTTTTTGTGGATTTTTTTTTGTGGATTTTTTTCAGGATTCTTTGATGAATAGAAAATTTAAACAGCATTTATTTGAAGTAGACATCTTTAACATCATAAATGTCTTTGATCAATTTTGATCAATTTAATACAGTCTTGTTGAATAAAAGTATTAATATTTAATATATTTTACAAATGTAATTTATTCCTGTGATCAAAGCTGAATTTTCAGCATCATTACTCCAGTCTTCAGTGTCACATGATCCTTCAGAAATCATTCTAATATGCTGATTTGCTGCTCAAGAAACATTTATTATTATATTATTATTATTATCAATGTTGAAAACAGTTCAAATGCTGCTTAATATTTTTTTTGTGGAAACTGATAAATTTTTTTCAGGATTCTTTGATGAATAGAAAAGTTAAACAGCATTTATTTGAAATAGAAATCTTCTTTAACATCATAAATCAATTTTGATCAATGTAATACATTCTTGTTGAATGAAAGTATTAATATCTTACTGTAATTTCTTAATTATTAAATCTTACTGACTCCAGACTTTTGAACGGTATTGTAATATCTAATAATTATTTATATATTATTTTAGCAGTTTTTGGATCTGTGTTTAATGCTTAAAATTAGTTTTGCAGATTAATTGCTTTGCAACACTAAAACTACTTTTTAGGAACTTATAGTAAGGAAAACGCAAGTGAATATAAAAAACAAAAATTCTATTCATGTCCAAACTTTTGAGTGGTAGTGTAAACTTCCTGCTGTCTTGTTAACTGGCAAACTTGTAGAAGTTACCCTTTGATGACACTGCAGCGTTTTTCCACATGCTCAGAGTGGCACATGTAGGGCTGGGTATCAAGTTCTATACTTTTTAGGCACCGACCGAATTGACTTGATACCATCGCATTTCGAAAAATGTCTTGTCGTTCGGTACGAAATTTCGATACTTAAGGGGTTAATCTCATCAAAGTCAGTGAGCCAATAAAACTGCAGCATGCGTGATGTACCTAAATCAGTGATTGGCTCTGGTGAGGCATCCAGGAAAACGTGTGTTACGTGACCGTGCTTCATGCTACATGAGACGATTTATACTCTGCTTTTACTCAAAACTCACTTTAATTGCGTGTTTATTAGCTTCATGTTTCATCCCTGTAAACGTTTTTCTGGAAGTGTAACGCACGTTCATCATCAGAGACAGGGTAACGCATAATATGAGTGACAATGAGCAGCTTCCTTTTGAGTCAGAACAGCGATCGCGGAAGAGAAAACACAGGCAGACAGCGCTGGAAGCAGTTAATGCTCATCAGATCGCATAAATCAGTGGAAAGTGAATAGATGATTCCGTCTAAGCTATGCGTTTTTAAAACGAAGTTTTTGGAGGTAATGTAATCTTGTTAGATTGGATTTCATAAAATAGCTATCGAAAGAAGTTCAGGAACCAGTGTCGAAGTCAAGGTATCAGTATCGAAAATTTTTGAATGATACCCAGCTCTAGGCACATGACGCTTGTGCTGAGCATGTTGAAGCCTCAACATGAGTCACATGAAAGGGCCTGTTGTTCCCTGCTGGCAACCGCCAATAGCATTTACATACATATACATATTGTGCACATGACGCATCTCATTTTCAGACATCCACTATAAATTCAATTGGTTGGCGCTGTGCATTAACATGATTGGCTCTGCAGCCTCAGAGGCTCGTGCGAAGGCCGTGTTAGCAGTTACAGGAGGGCATGGCTCCGCTCTGTTGCTTGTTTCCCATAGATCCACAATGATGATGGTGTCTGGCTCAGACTGAATGATGAGACAGTTAAGAAGTATGTTCCCAACATGAATGGGTACACTGAAGCCTGGTGCCTCTCTTTTAACCAGCATCTGGGTAGAAGCCTCCTGGTCCCTGTCGACGTAAGTAAAAGGCCTCCCCCTTCATAGATTAGCCGGAGCCCCTACTCTCCTCATTTGGGAACGGGATTTGTAACTGCCAGCTTAACTTCAGTCATGTTTAGGGTGATCATTCGATATACTTGTTTTGGCTCTTTTTACAGTGAATCATGGGCGTCTAATGACCCACTCCCAAATGTCTACAAGCATGCTTTGTCAGTTACTTAGAAAGACCAAAAACATGTGTCTTTGCATGTGTTAGTGCTACTGTGTAGTTTAGTTTGGGCACGATCACTCGAAGACCAGGATGGAAAATGTTAAGGGTGGGTGCATGTTGCCAGTCCCTTGTCTTATTAACTCCTGGTTGAAAGACACTAACTCATGCACACTGTTTTGTAGGGCTGCACGATTATGACAAAGTTTATATTTTGCTGATTATATTTTATTTTAGTCACATTTATTTATTACGATGGATGGATAGTGTTCACATTAAAATATTACGTTCCTTGTCAAGAAAATAATCCGCCATGTTGTCAGTCACGTGACCTACCAGCGTCAGTTCACAAATCCTCTCCATGGCTTCATGGTATAGTAAAGTGTTCATCGAATGCGCACTTCAGAATCTCAGCAGAAGTAGAAGGTCATCCAGGTACTTTCCGCCTTTTCATTTTTCTCATACTACATTGTATAGTCATATTTGGACACAGTGAATGTGTTCAAAAATCAACTCAATATATCAAGCGTGTTTGATCTCCTCCGACTGGATGAAATCTGAGGCCCTGTTTACACCTAGTATTAAGATGTTTTTGTCGATCCAATCACAAGTGGACAACGCTAAATACAGGTGTAATCAGGGTCTAAAACGTTGTCCACTTTTGACCACTACCAGAGCAGTGTTGGGAAAAGTTACTTTTAAAAGGGTCATATGATGCTTTTTTTTGGTTTTGAGACTTTAGTCTTTGCAACTTCAGGGATCTTATCTATGCACAATCAGCTTGTAACACTCCAAAGAGAAAGGAAAACTTGAAATCGCATCATATGACCCCTTTAAAAGTAATGCATTGCAATGTTGCGTTACTCCATTAAAAAAGTAACTAATTGTGTTACTTTTTATGGAAAGTAACGCATTGTTACTTTTGTGTTTGAGTTTCTGTTACTTTTGCGTTACAGCTGTAAAAGCCCTTTCACACCAAAAGTGAAATTAATAAACCTCAGCCTGAAGGAAGTGCCTCTGCATCTCACTCCCAATTTCTCTCAACATGGGGACAGGGGAGGTGTCAGTGAATAAATGGGAAAATAAAGTAACTTGCGTCACTTATTTGAAAAACAAACTCAGATATTTTCTTGAAAATTTAAAAGTAATGCGTTACTTTTCTAGTTACTTGAAAAAAGTAATGTGATTACATAACACGTGTTACTTGTAATGCTACTCATGTTGTTGAATGCATTCGTCACAAAAGACCGCCTCCTCTCTGCCTCTTGACCTAATTCTTAAACATTACGTGATGCTAGCCAGACAGAGTTTAAACTTCGCTGACTGAAATAGTAAGTTTGGTTTTAAAGAGAAAAAATTTAAAAAGACCAATGTTCTATTACCAGTCCTGATTCGAACACAAACCCACAGAGTTCCCAGAGAAACAAAGGCTGCTGCTCTCCCTTTTGTTTTTCATTTCATGTTCATATGTAAATTGTGCAAGCTTATTTCACAACAGTAGATCGAAAGATCAGTAAAAGTCCATTCATACACCCAACCATTGACCCTCCCTTTAAAGAAATCAGGAAAGTGGACAAAAGTGAACGATTAAAGCACCATGTGTAAACAGGACCAGAGTCTGAAGCTAGAAAAATCTGTTTGTGCCCATCATACATTACAAGTTTTTCCAATTACAGCATCCCAAAATATGCTGACCAACTCTGACTTTCTCTAACTAGCAGTAAGTCTTCCATAATGTTAATCGAGGGCAAAAATCTGTGCAAACGTTGTGAAGTGTATTCCAGTGTTCTAGGTTTGGCGTGTTTGTTAGGTTTTACACCATCTACTTTGCAACATGCCATGATTATTTCCGATTTGCTTCTACAGCTTTTTTTGAGTGTCAGGTCATGTTTCTTCAGCTTTCTTTTTCGTAACAGAAATAAAACACAAAGCAGGCCTATAGACTCTCCAAAGTGCGAACAAGGTGAAAGCTTCAGGCGACACCTAAAGGAAATTCTTTAATCGACGCTTCATGATTAGTTTATTAAATCTGTGTGATTAATTGTGCAGCCCTACTGTGTTGTTACTCATCATATGTGGTGTGAAAAATAGTTCTTGTGTGATAATGAATATCAGTGTACAAAGCTTTGCTGTTTCCTGGTCATGACAGTATAGACGGATGAGCTGCATCAGTGCGGCCCCATGAAAACTTTAATCTCTTCACATAACCGATCTGAAATGATAGACATTCCTGAACAGACAAAGATTCATTTGCTTAAAAATGATCATAATTAAACCTTTTCAACAACTGGTTTAAAAGTGGTTGATCTGTTTCAATTTCTCACCCTAAATTAGCTGTCGGGGTCCCGCAACTTTTAATGAGGTTCTGCCATGAAACTAGCCTTGTCCTAACCCAAGGCCTGAAAGTGGGCTATGATTCTGAGAGCATAATTACTTCTGGATGTGAAAATGTCATCAAGGCTCCCAGTATGAACAGCATGACACACCACCAATCTTTTTTGGAAGATTATGCATCTTCATATTTCTTATGTGATTTATTTTTCATTTGCCGTATTTTGATGGGATTTAAATTGTTGCAATTGGAGCATTTGCGGTCACAATCTTCAGCAGAACTCTTGTTTTGTTTGCTAGACCTTTTTCTCAGCCTTCAAATTCTTCTCTGACTGACTCATGAAGAAAATTTGAAAGAAATAATATACACATAAAGAAACTCTCACTATAACAAATCCATCTCTTCCAAAAAAAGACAAACCATACCATCTGCGTTTCTAACTGAAGGTAATTCCCCACGTGTTTTGACTTGCTTGTAATCTGTTGCTTAGAATATCTTTAGCGCTAGCCAAGGAGTCAGGGATATCGACTTTTTGTCTTGGACGACCTTATCTTGTTTTCCCCAGGTGAGTTGTCAGAAGATGAGGTGTGTGTAGCTTGGCTGCTGCTTTGCTTTTCACCAGTGTTTCTCATTATTTTGAGCCGTTTCCGATTGTGATTTTTGGAGAATCATCAGAGTTGCATGTTTAATTGTGTAAATTGTGAATCAAAATATATTTCATCATCTTTTCCTTGTATGCACAAAGTTTTCAGTAACGTTTTGAATGTGTTATAAGAACCTAATGATCATTACATTACATTTATGTTAATCTTGGGTAAAGCTTTTTGCGTTTTCATGTCTTAGTTCACAATTAAAACAATCGAAAGTCAGTTGCATGAGGATTTAAAGGAATAGTTTACCCACAAAATAAATGTTTTGTCATTATTTATTCACCTTCATCTAGGGATGTAACGATTAACCGCGAGCCGGTTGAAAATCGATTTAAATATGTGACGATTCAAATCAGTTGAGATGCTAAACAAATCGCGATTAAGTTAGGGGTAGGAGTTTATATGAATGTATGTCTGAGGGGAACTTACTGTCTTTTGATGGTATTTTTTCTTTTCCTCTTGCCTCTGTATAACGCATATTAAAGTTCATAAGTGCAGCGCTGCTTTGTTATTTATTTGATTTGGGGCTTGTTTTAAATTTTAAATTTATTTTTGTTATTTACATTTAAATTAAATTTAAATGTTGTTATTTAGCAAACGCTTTTATCCAAGCAATCAAAACCAACAAAAGAGCAATAATACGCAAGTGCTATATTAGTATATTATTATAGTGTTATATTTCAATTTCACAAAGAAACGTACAGTATTTTGTCCAAGCAATAATAAAAGGACACATTTAATTTATAATTTGTCTTAAATCTCATTTTGTTAAAAAAAAATCGTGAATCGAATCATGAAATCAAAATCGTGAATCGAATCGAATAGTGAAATCAAAATCGTGAATCGAATCGAATCGTGAGTTGAGTGAATCGTTACATCCCTACCTTCATCTCATTCCAATTTTTGTATGTGGTTTTCTTCCATGGAACACAAAAGGTGAATTAATTTGAGGTATTTTTACACACTTTTAATATTGACCACATCTGTTAAGCTCATAAAATAATTTATACAAATAAGTTTGATGATGTTAATGACGTCCAACCATATAAGAAAAAGATTCTTCAAAATTCTCCTTTTGTGTTCCATTGTAAAACTAACAATATAATGCATAATAATAATGACCGAATATTTATTTTTGTGAACTATTCCTTTAACAAAAATCAAAATATGTAAATGCATGTTTTTTTTCCCCCTCACACAAAGGCAAAATGATTGTTTTGTCAGTTTATGAACAGCATGTCTGTATAGTAGTAGTCAGCAGAACTCGGCATCAGAGCACACTTCTATGTGTGTTATAATGATCTTCATCCCACAACCTACAATTAGGATAAGATGATATTTGTAAAGATTGTCTTGTTTGTATGTAGAAGCACAATTGACAAGTCTATGTATTGTTGATGTAAGCGGGCAATTCGTGCTGGTAGCAAATGATGTTAAAGGGTCAATGACATTTTTTCGTTTTACTTTTCAGATCTGTTCTCTGAATTTCATTGTTGCTGTATTTTTGAATACGTTAAATTCAAAAATACATAATTATCCTGTTTCTATGAAAATTCTCTTAAAAAGAGTTCTATAAAGGGTGGAAAAAAATTAAAAAGAGTATTAACTGTTACGGACTGTTAAACTAGATTTTAAAATGATTTTTCTTTTTCGTCATATCGGACATCCTTATTTGTCATTGACCCTAAAATTAAGACTTAAGCCCCGTTCACACCAAGAACGATAACTATAAAGATAACGATATTAGCGTCTACACCAGCGAACGATATCGCCTGTTTATTCCAAGCGCACGCTCGTCTGCCGCTTTAAATTCTCATGCTCGTTACAGCAGGATGGATTCTGATTGGCTGTCAATTTTTTTATCGTTCATCAGCTGGAAAAAAATCGTTTTGAAAGTGATTTCAACGATATCGTTTCTCTTTGTCTTTATCGTTATAGTTGTGGTGGGGATTCTTTAATATTGAGAACGATTTTTAGAACTTTATCGTTATCTTTATAGTTATCGTCCTTGGTGTGAACGGGCCTTTATTGTCTTTTAATCCCAAAAAATTTGATTGAATATTTTAAGAGCATAATTTTATAATGTACCAATTGCTTTCAAACTTAAATTAACCAGTGTCCTTTGGTTTTGCAGGAGGGCAGGTCAAATTTGGATGATTATGGAAAGGAGACCAGTGGCCACCCTTCCCATGACGCCAATGTTCGTGACCTGGGCGCAGGCCAGGGTGGCGGACCGGGTCTTTATAAGGTAGTGAAGACCGGACCTTCGGGTCACAACATCAGAAGCTGCCCAAACCTTAGAGGTATCCCCATTGGAATGTTAGTTCTGGGAAACAAAGTCAAGGCTGTAGGCGAGGTATGGACTCCCAACTGTGTTACTGTGGCTGCCAATAAATGACTAATTAGCCAGATTTCTTGCTAATTCTGCAGTTTCTGTAACACAAATTCTTCATTTTTCTTTAGACATTTAGAGAACCCTTTGTGTAACGCCTTTTGATAGAGGCCATACGTGCTATGGCTCTGGCGTGGCTGTGTTGTTATTGTTCTGTACACATTATTAAAGACCCTCTCAAGAACCACCAAGCATGGCTTCAGCTTTTGCACAGTAACAGTGCAGTATAATATGGCATGCTCTGTAGGAAAATCTGTGTGATGCGACAATGAATAAATATTCCTAATTACCTATTAACAGTGATGACAGATGAAACCTCTGAATTGCAAAAAAAAAACTGAAGTCATATCAGTTTCCACTCTGCAAACACCAGGGTTGAGCAAAATTAAGAATTAGTTCATTTTCAATTCATGTATGTGAATTTGAATTGAATTAGTTCTGTCCCACAGGATGTGGAACTGGAATTTGAATCGGTATGATAGGAAAAGATATATGCGGAATTGCAGTTCTGAGAAATTCAGCAGTGACACAACAGAAACATAACATAACATAAACAAAACATAAATAATTACATAATTTCTTTGATTAATTATGCCTATTTATTATATATGTCGTTATTATGTTACATTGTTATTTTATATTATATTCTAATTTCTGTAGATACCCTGGTATATTATATTATATTATAGCATTTCAAACATTATTAATATTGTGCACTATTTCTGTTACGTGTTTGATATTTATATGTAATTCATACTGACAAATTATTAAAACTACTTAAATTTTTATGCATTTTCTTTGAATTTTATTTCATGATAATTCTACTTTCTTAAATTCAAATTACAATTCTGCATCCTGTTTTACGATTCAATTCAAATTCAGGAATTAAATGGAAATTCTGAATGGTGCACAACTCTGGTGAACACCTGTGTTTTATGGCATTTGAATGGTCTCCATGTGTGATTATGGAAGGGCTGGACTTTGCCTCTTTCTTCTCTCAGTAGAGGGTGTGGTGTGTCATGCTGTCCTCAAATGCTCTCCTAAAGTCGCTGTCTCTGAGCCTCCCAACTTACACAAATACTGCTATTCTTCTCACAAATCAAGTCAAATCTAAACCAGTGTCTTTGTTCGAACTTGTTTCAATTCATAAATCCTGAGAATTGAATGGTACGTCATATATTTGTTTTCACGTTTCTAAATGCGCTGTTATTTTAGCACCTCCACTGAGTTTTGTTTGCTAATCAGTCGTGCTCCTCTGGATTGAAGTGGTTTTAGGTTTGTGTGTGTGTGTGAGAGAGAGAGAGAGATGAGGTAAATAAAGCTGTGTCTGTATCAGGTGATTAACCCGGAGGGCACCTGGGTTCAGCTTGATAAGAACAGTGTGGTGGAGTTCTGTGAGAGTGATGATGGGGAGGCCTGGTCTCTGGCCCGAGACAGAGGGGGAAACCAGTACCTGCGTCACGAGGAAGGTAATGCAAACACACTCCTCTCACTTCCAGCCTTAGTCGTGGCATCCCTTGTGAAAAAAAAAGTGCACTTAATTGTATTGAATGTGCACTTTTAATGTACCTATAATATATATTTAAAAAAAACTGAATTGTACTTTAATGAAATAACAGGCCACTTAAGTGTACTTAAAGAGACTGTTCCTTTAAATAAGAAACCAGTAATGTGAAAGAGCACTCATAAACCATAAGTTGACATACAGCTGGCTGTTAGTTACTGATGTTTATTAATGCTTTTTGTTTCTCTCTGGAACAGAGCAAGCGATTTTGGAGCATGGAGCCCAGACCCCTCCTCCCAGCCCATTCTCAGTCCAGGCGTTTAACAGGGGCGCGGGAAGCTCCGGGGCTCAGGGCTTTGACTATGGCATCAACAACAAAGGTGAGAGTAAAGATTCCGGAGAGATGGAAATAAAATGTGATTTATTATTGAGTGACAGTTGCACCTTTGTTTAAATGATTACAGTTCATCTGCCAATTAAACATTTTTTCATGCCATGCTCCTGCTAAATATGTCATATTTAATCAGATATATCTTGGTAGTTTATTCCATGATGTTAAACGTTACTTCACAAAATTGATGCCAATCCAACAGAGGTAGAATAGCCAGTCATTCAGGATTTTTTTGTCGTATTCATATTTTAATAAATGTGATTCCTTTATGTTCCTTAAAACCTTTTAGGTTAAAAGTGGAAATTAAATTAAAAGTGGACCAGAATTATTATTTTTTCTATCAAACATACAGTACCGTTCTAAAGTTTGGGGTTGGTAATATTTTTTGTTTTTGAAAGAAGTGTCTTATGCTCAAAAATACAGTAAAACAGGAGTATTGTGAAATATTATTACTTAAAATAATACTTATGATTATTACAATTTAAAATAAGCTATTTTAAATAGTAATTAAAATGTAATGCTATTTAATACATTTTAAATGTAATTTATTCTTGTGATGGCAAAGCTGAATTTTCAGCAGCCATCATTCTAATTAATGCTGAAAACAGTTGTGCTGCTTAATATTTTTGTGGAAACTGTGATGCATTTTTTAAGGATTCTTTGAGTGTTGAAAAGAACAGCATTTATTTGAAATATTTTGTAGTATTATAAGTGTCTTTGCTGTCACTTTAAATCAATTTAATGCATCCTTGCTGAATAAAAGTATTAATTTCTTTCAAAAAATAAAAAATCTTGCTGATCCCAAATGGTAGTGAATACTGCACATGTAATGATCTTTTAAATTCCTTATCCAGTAATTACAAAAAAACAGGGAAAATCTTGGAATCTTCATGGAGCCCTGGATATAGTGGATATCAAAACAGTGTCTTTTATTTATTTAAAGTGCTGTATGACCCCTGATTAATAAGCAAACACAATCATTTGTCTTAATTCAGCTCTGTGTAATCAGAGTAATTGTGTTCTGCATGCTGTGATCTGTGTGTCTTGGCTGTCGTCTGTGGCGTGTGAAGGCATCATTGTGTGCATGGGCAAGACTCTGTGTGCTGCAGCTGGGTCTTACCCATTTATTGTCCACTGGCTCTCACCATACTGTTCTCATGCACCGCTGCTTAGTGGCGTTACCCATAGACCGCTGTCTGATGGGTCCTTCATCACCTCTTATACATAAGTCTATCTGAATAAAAAAAAGACCCTTGACCTAACTATGGTGCCTAACTAAATGCTTCTTGACTAAAAGTTGACATGAAGTCAATATTAACCTTAGAATTGCTCAATATTCCAAAGGGAAAAAAATGTAATAACTTGCACGTTCTCTAAAAAGACTTGCCTTTTTGGCCAGTGTCACTTAGGATGTCCAGGTTATCTTTCTAAATTCCTGCCAGTATTTGCAAATAATGTAATAATTAAAAATGCAGTCATTTGGTAATGTTAGTATAATACAATAAAGATTACGGCAGTGATAGCAGTTAACAAATAAGTTAAGACTTATCATAAATACTTCTATTGGGATACCTTGACCTGTTCTCAAGGGTGAACCTGACCTTAAACAGTCAAAAAGTCTTCTCAGAATTCACTGCAAACTCTGACACATGTTCCATTCTCATATGAAATGCCTACTTTTTGTGATCCAAACAGTTCCTGAGATAAAATCAGTTCCTCCCCTACCCTTTTCCCTTAATAACTTGTCAGACACGCATTGCATTATAGAAGTCTTTTCATGTTGACTTGACAACTTAACAACTCAACCAAAATATTAGTTTTCAGTAATGTCATGATACCTGTTAGGTTAGTATTAAAATTTAAAATGTTTAATGCAATTTGACAATCCCCCTCACATAATTTCCATGAGTTGCACTATAAAAGGGATGAAAGCAGAGCATTGGCTTTGTCTGCCAATGTTTTATATGTGACCTTGTAGTTGTTCCAGATATGAGGTTTCATGAAAACATGAAAACCTGACCTATGGCTCCCCAGGCCATTCCTTATTCCCCTCACGTTGGTTCAGCTGACCCACTCACACACCCCATTATTTCCAGTGAGCGTGTTTGTGTGGGGCGTTAAACTGACTAGCGTTTTGTATGGCTCCTTTTAAGGATCATATAAGCTACAGCACTCCCATTGTCTTCCGCATTGCAGGTGACCGGCTGAGTGCCATACTGAATTCCATTCAGTCTGGGCCTTTCCTCCCAACTCCTTCCATATTTGAGCAAGCTGCCAAACCTCCCTCTTCCCTTGTCCACAGCCCATTTGTGTTTGGACAATCCCTTTCCCAGCAGCCTCAACCGCATCCACAGCTTCCGAGTAAGTCTGTCCGTCTGTAAGGTAGTGGCGGCGCTTGCTTGTACAGGTGCTGCTTGTTCTTGTCTTAAGCGCTTATTTGTTTAGTATCCCATAGGTTGTGTTGAGATCCATTTAGGCTTATTTCCCCTGCTTTGTCCACCCGCTTGCTTGCTGTGTTTAAATTGGTGATTCTTTTCTTTCTCATCTCATTTTAACTTCAGTGGCTGAATAACATTCAAGTTCCTCTTCCGTGTAGGATTGTAGCCGTTTCTATTGTAGCTACTAACGGTGTGTGTTTTATGTCAGATGTTTCTGTTAACTTGATTGCATTTTTTTTTTGCTTGCTACATGTACAGTGCTTAATTTGATCATTCATTAGCTAAACAGTTACCAAGAGGTCCAGGAATCTGTCCACGCAATCAAAACTTTGCAGTGCTTTACCATTGCATCCCCCAGTGTAATCCACAATCCATAGGTCTGCATAACAAAAATGAATTTGGGTTATTTGGACATTTAAGGAGCAAGTGTCTCAATATTTTCCACAGCCAGAATACTCTGAATCTGCATTTCAGATTCATTACAGTTCTTCACATTTTATTCTCACTCTTCTGCCACCCACTTTGCACTGGTTGATGCCCAGTTTTGTTTTAGTCTTGTGCCTGCTTCTACCAGTCTCTGTCTCTCTCACAGTGTCTGTCCGTTTACTTGTTGCTTTTTCTCTATTCATATATCTTTCCGAGTACCTAGATGCTCATCTGGCCCTGTTTACACTTAGTGTTAACATCCATCGTGGGTGATCTAACCACCAATTACAGGGCTTGAATGGGGTTGCATATATTTTTGTCAGCCAATTTGGAGCTTGACTAAAATATTGAGCATTCCACTTAAACTTAAAACTTTAAATGTGTATCTGGAATATATATATTTGTGATGCTGCCTTAGAATTAGAACAGTGTGTCTATGGAGGATGCATAATTAAGATGCATACTTTCTAAAATAGCCTTTACATCAGGAGCACATCTATTACATCTGTTTTGAACATAGCAACTGATACTTAAGTTATACATGTAGTCACAAAATCTTTAACTCTCCCCTTGAAAACGAAGTGGTCACAGACCACTTTGAAACGCATGTAAATACCAGGTGTAAACTGCAATTTCTCAGTTGTCCATTTGAGATTAGATCACCCAAGACGATTGTTAATATCAAGTGTAAACAGGGCAAGAGTCCGTTTTTCCCCTCATACAATCCTTTTTCCACTCTCCATTGTTCATTGGCTCTCACTTTCTTTCTCATTCTCTGATGGTTTTCCTTAGTTCAAGCCTTGTTGTTTACTTTCCTTGCCACTGTTTTCCGCTGTAGATGCTTCATCACGCAGCCTTGCTTCACGTGAGCGTGTGCACAAAAGCAGTGCGACCGGCCCTGGCACCGCTCTCTCATCTCTTGTTCTCAGACAAAAGGGTGGGTAATGCATGTCTTCTCCTGGGAGCACCCTGGAGACTCACTATAGGGAGGGGTTTCATGTCATCCTTGCTTCCACGGTCCATTTATTTCCCCTCTTAGGCATGGCAACAGAGTATGTAGTGCTTTGGAATATACATGGGGACAGGTTTACAAACTTGACAAAACATTTCACATGACCTGGGTGCTTTCCATTCGCATCAATATTTATGCATTTGCTACCTTAAAATCTTATGAATACTTTAATTCTTATGTAAATAAATGTTGGTCAGTAAATTGAAATTTAAGGTCATTCTTGGATTTCAGTGGATTCTTGTAGATGTCAATTTAACTTGTATTGTTTTACATTTTTTATTTAAGTTTCTCTTATGTTGTAAATTATTTTTCCCTTACATTTTCAGGTGCCATTTTTACTGTCTTGTTTTTTTATTTTTTATTCTTAAATATGTGAAAAGGCCTGAGAAGTATTTGTGGAGTGCCTCCTGCACAAACGAGTTGCTGAGTTGCACTTTGGTAACTGATGGTGTATTACGATACGCAGGTGACAGGGATAACATGGCCAGTCGGTCTATGTCTCCAGGCAGCAAGCATCGTCAAGAGAGTCGATCCTCCAAAACGGACAGTCACTCTAGCCGATCTGTTGACCAGGTGAAGAGCAAGAACAATGACAGTCTGTCTGCCAGCGAAGCCCTCATTCTCAAATCAGACACCGGCAAACTGCGATCTGACTCTCACAGCCGCTCCCATTCCCCTAACCACAACACTTTACAAGCCCTGAAAGCTGATGGCCGAACTCCAGGCCTTAGGACTGAGTCTCCGAACCCTGGCTCCCGTTCCTCCTCACCCAAACAGAAAGCCTTTAATTCGAGCAGATCTAGCCCTTCCAGCAACAGTTCCCCACGTTCATCCTCTCCTCATGATAAGAACCTGCCCTCTAAAGTTAGTCCTTCTTCTAAAGCTCACCTGGACCCTCCACGTGAGCGATCGAAATCTGATTCTTATACGCTAGACCCTGACACTCTTAGAAAGAAGAAAGTTCCTCTCATGGAACCTCTGAGGGGCAGGTCTACGTCTCCAAAGCCAAAAATTTCACCCAAAGAGAGCAAAGGAGGAAGCAGCAATGCCGAGAACCGAGCCCCATCTCCTCATGTAGTTCAGGAAAACCTCCACAGTGAAGTGGTGGAGGTGTGTAGGTCCAGCACCTTGCTATCCAACGATGAAGCCAATGATGAGAATGCAGAGTTGCACAATGCTGAAGAGGGCTCCTCCAAGGTCCACTTTAGTATCGGAAAAGCCCCGGTCAAGGAGGAACTTGAAAGTCGTTCTTCACCCAAAGTCAGCCGTAAAACCTCCAGCAAGCATGTGAGACCCAAAAAAGACAAATCAGGGCCACTCTTTAAGGGTGAAAACGTGCGTCCCACTGAACCCGCCAAGCAAGCCATGTCGCCTTCTGTTGCAGAATGTGCCCGTTCTGTTTTTGCTGCCTTCCTGTGGCATGAGGGCATAGTACATGATGCCATGGCATGTTCTTCCTTCCTCAAGTTCAACCCTGAGCTGACCAAAGAACATGCACCCATCCGTAATTCTCTCAGCTGCCAACAGGGTTTTGAGGAGAAGGAGAGCAAACTGAAGAACCGTCACTCTCTGGAGATCTCCTCGGCACTCAACATGTTCAACATATCACCACATGGCCCAGACATTTCCAAGATGGGTAGCATCAACAAGAACAAGGTTCTGTCCATGCTAAAAGAGCCACCCTTGCCCGAGAAGTGCGAGGATGGAAAAAGTGAGGCGGTCTCCTATGAGATGACTAGCCACTCCTCTATGAGGTCTAAGTCCATCTTGCCTCTCACCCTCCAGCACCTAGTTGCCTTCTGGGAGGATATATCCATGGCTACCATAAAAGCGGCTACACAGAATATGATCTTCCCGAGTCCAGGGTCCAGTGCTATCCTTAAAAAGAAGGAAAATGAAAAGGACAGCAAGAAGACCAAGAAAGAGAAGAAGAAGGAGAAAGCGGAGATTCGCCCCAGGGGGAACCTCTTTGGAGAGATGGCGCAGTTAGCTATGGGAGGCCCAGAGAAGGATACCATCTGTGAGCTGTGTGGAGAGTCTCACCCATACCCTGTTACCTACCACATGAGACAGACCCACCCAGGTACAGTGCTGTCAATTCTTGGGTCTTACTCCATTCTGTTTTTTTCAGAGCAGTTCAAAGGTTATACAGTCCAATAGATGAAGTATATCATCAGTTCTCTGTATTGTGTTCTTTCAGGCTGTGGCCGGTATGCTGGAGGTCAGGGCTATAACAGTATTGGTCACTTTTGTGGAGGCTGGGCTGGTAATTGTGGAGATGGTGGGATTGGAGGAAGCACCTGGTACTTGGTGTGTGATCGTTGTAGAGAGAAGTACCTGAGAGATAAACAAACAGCTGCCAGAGAAAAGGTATACCTGTCATGACCAATGTAGGGAGATGCATAATATTTGTAGCTATATCGCATGTCTAAAACAGTGTATAATTCTTTCTTGGGTTCGACCCTGTGGTTCTTGGATCAGGTTAAGCAGTCAAGAAAGAAACCTCTCCAGGTTAAAACCCCACGCTCTCTGCCCACCATGGAGGCCCACCAGGTGATCCGTGCCAATGCACTGTTCCTGCTGTCTCTGAGCAGCGCCGCTGAGCCAAGTCTACTTTGCCATCACCCACCTAAACCCTTCCACACACATCTGCCCAGCCTCAAAGAGGGAGTGTCTGAGGAACTACCCAACAAGATGGGCTGCCTCTATCTGCAAACGCTAGCCCGGTAAATACCTTGTGTTCACCTTGATCACCATCACCATAGGCTGCATTGTTGAAGTAATTCAATGTATGGAATATCTCTTTCTCAATTACCTTTTTGCAGCCAACACACTGAGAACTTTGGGGCCTATCAAGATGACAACCTGTTTCAGGATGAGATGCGTTACCTGCGTTCTACGTCAGTCCCTGCTCCCTACATCTCAGTCACTCCAGATGCCTGCCCCAATGTTTTTGAAGAGCCAGGAAGTAACATGAAGTCCATGCCCCCAAGGTACTCTAACAAGCTTCCCACCTCCCAAAGTACTGTGTTCTATGAACATTTTACATTATGGATATGCTTATGTCTTTATTACTTTTTTTTTTTTACTTTGTTCCTTTAGTTTGGAGACAAGTCCAATCACAGACAGTGACACGGCCAAGCGGACAGTATTCCAGCGCTCATATTCAGTGGTTGCCTCTGAGTATGATAAGCAGCACTCAGCCTCCCCAGCACGGGTCAAAGCAGTACCGAGACGCAGGGTACACAGCGGGGATGCGGGTAATGTTGTGTCACTTTGTACAACACGGTTACAAATGTCTAATTAATTCAGCTAATTGTTACAATAATGACAGTGCCTGAAGTCTGAGAATCTATTTACATCAGGTATGCTGCCTTTATATTGGACTGGGCTTTAGAGGGAAAAGTAATCAGTTTTCAGTCTTTTAAAGTTATTCTATATATAATTTGCATTAGGCTGGTGCTTTTATCCAATTTTCATTGCATTGCATTGTATACATTTTAGTAGTTCTTGTATTCTCTGGGATTTAAACCCATGAACTTGGTGTTGATAGCACCATGTTTTACTGCTTAACCTACAAGAATGTTAAAATGGCTTGTATGCATGATTCATAGCAATATTTACCTTTACCTTTTACCAACGTGTGAGTTCTCGAATCGTCATAGCACAGTTTAGAATCGATTAATTGAAACTTTAAGCTCAGGAAAATCGATATGTGACCAGAAATGCAAGATGCCACTTTTATATTTATGATGTAAATATTTACGCTGAATAAAAAATAAAAAAAAAAGTTAGTTTTGTGTTCACTGCTAGAATTTTACTATTGTGATATCTTACAATTCAAAAGTTGAGTTAAACATTTTAAATGTGAGTTAATTTCTGCTGGTCTCTACAGAAGTTGGGTCATCTCTGCTTCGTCACCCTTCTCCCGAGTTGTCTCGACTGATCTCAGCCCATGGCTCTCTCAGCAAGGGTGAAAGGAACTTCCAGTGGCCTGTGCTGGCATTTGTTATCCAGCATCATGATCTAGAGGGTCTGGAGGTGGCTATGAAGCATGCACTCCGTAAATCAGCCTGCAGGGTGTTTGCCATGGAGGTCAGCGATATTCTCTCAGACATTCTCTCTGGCCTTCTGCCTACTTTCATTCCTCTTCTTCTTGTTCCAAATTGTACAGTCATAGACATACATTGTTGAATATGAACTATTAATTAACTGTGGGGTCCCACGATCATGGAAAACCTGAAAATATAAGGGAATTTTAAAACTGTGATTATGTCTGGAAAGGTCATGTAAATTAATAAATACAGAATATGGAAAATTCTATAGTGAATAATAAATATAGTAGTGCTGTCAGACGATTAATCGCGATTAATCGCATCCCAAATAAAAGTTTTTGTTTACATAATATATGTGTGTGTACTTTGTATATTTATTATGTATATATAAATACACAAACATGCATGTATTCAGTATATTTAAGAAAAATGTTATGTTTGTATATTAAATGTATTTATATATAATATAAATTATCTCAATATAAATGTATACAAGTAAATACATGTAATTATTTTCAATATATATACTGTATGTGTGTGTATTTATATATACATAATAAATATACACAGTACACACACACATATTATGTAAACAAAAACTTTTATTTTGTATGCGATTAATCGCGATTAATCGTTTGACAGCACTAAAATATAGTAAATAAGATTTAGTGAAAGTAAATTTTTTTTAGATTCTAGCTGTTTTTCATTAAATGTCTTTACAGTGCCTGCATTCATAAAAAAATTGTGTATTAAAATCCTTATCCAGTTATCACAATTGGCTAGAAAAGTAATGGAAATTTAGTCAGCAGTTCTGGGAACTCTTAACAAACCTTTTGTTTTGCGTTTCCTTCTCAGGCTTTTAATTGGCTGTTGTGTAACGTTACCCAAACCACCTCCCTCCATGATATCCTGTGGCACTTTGTGGCGTCTCTGACTCCGTCTCCCTTTGAGACGGAAGAAGAGGAGGATGAAGAGAACAAAGGGAACAAGGAGAACCTCGAGCAGGTGTGGCCTTACGACAACACGGCTAATGGTTTATTAATAAGTCACTATTCACTTGAGATGAACAAAGGTTTTTCTGACATGGGACGTTTTCCCTCTTTTCTTGCAGGAGAAGGATTTAGGTGTCTGTGAGCACCCCCTGTCTGACATTCTCATCGCAGGAGAGGCGGCTCACCCGCTGCCCCACACCTTCCACCGTCTGCTCCAGACCATCTCTGACCTCATGATGTCACTTCCCAGTGGAAGCTCACTTCAGCAGATGGCCCTGAGGTATCTTCTGTCTGTTCACAGAGACACCTTTAGCAATCAGAACATCTTCGTAACCACACACTGCAATTGTAACAACCTATAACACCTTAGCAGCCACATAGCAATATGCTAAATAACACCCAGAACACTTTAGTAACCACATAATAACACCCTAGCAACAGCATAGGTATGTGGTGATGGCAAATTTTGCACATGCAAGCTCAGCCTACATTGTCTTCATAAATGTACAAATCTAGTATTTGTTTGGCTGTTTCACTAGGTGTTGGAGTCTTAAATTCAAACAATCAGATCATCAGTTCCTGCACCAGAGTAACGTGTTTCACCACATCAACAACATCCTGTCCAAATCAGATGATGGGGACAGTGAGGAGAGTTTTAACATCAGCGTACAGTCGGGATACGAAGCGATTAGTCAGGTGGGAAACTTTTCATTAACTTCATCTGTGTTGATTGAATACAAAGACTTTCTGTCCTGATGCTTTTACATTTATGCATTTGGCAGAAGCTTTTATTTAAATTGGCCTACATTGCAATGAAGGTATACATTTTACATGTATTGCAGGAACTTTGTGTAGTGACCTGTCTGAAAGATCTGACCAGCGTGGTGGACATTAAAACATCCAGCCGACCAGCCATGATCGGCAGCCTGACTGATGGCTCCACTGAGACGTTCTGGGAGTCTGGAGATGAAGATAAGAACAAAACAAAGAGCATCACTATCAGCTGTGTCAAAGGCATCAATGCCTCATATGTCTCTGTCCATGTCGACAACTCTCGTGACATTGGAGTGAGTTCGCGAACTATTATTCTCTGTTTTTCTGTCCGTTCTTAGTCAGTCAGTATATTAATACCAGTCTCTGTGTTGGCCAACTGTTAATTCTGTATACATTTTATGAAGTGTTCAAAGTGCATAAGGCCTATATAACCTTCAAACATTCAGATATGACTTTTTTTTGTGACAATTTTCTAGTTTGAATGGATAATTTGTAATATTTTTGTATTTATACACGTATCAGTAAACAGCTAGTGATTAATATAACCTGTGCTTTGTGTTCTGTCAGAATAAAGTCACATCAATGATATTCCTTTGTGGGAAGGCTGTGGAAGATCTCTGCAGAATCAAACAGGTGGGACTTAAATGATAGAGTGAATGTTTTTACAATTTGGTAAATGACAGAAAAATATGACATTAATTCAGTTTGAAAAAGGCAGTAAACTCATAGTCCTGAGGTCCAAGAGCTACTAGGCAACAGACAAAATGCTTATCAAAGCATGTCTGCATGGAAATCACCAGATCAGTCTGGGGTCCCTTAAGGCCTTCAGGGTCGTTTCACTGAATGGACTTTTTGTTGTCTCAGATTGACTTAGACTCAAGGCACATGGGCTGGGTGACCAGCGAGCTGCCTGGAGGAGACCATCATGTGATCAAGATCGAGCTTAAGGGTCCTGAGAACACACTTCGGGTACGGCAGGTCAAAGTGCTTGGCTGGAAGGAGGGCGAGAGCACCAAGATTGCTGGGCATATATCAGCCAGTGTAGCTCAGCAGAAGAACTGTGAGGCTGAGACGCTGCGTGTCTTCCGCCTCATTACATCACAGGTAAGCACAAAGGCACGAACCGCAGTAAGGTTGCATCATCAGTGTCAGTACCACTGTACATCAAACGCTGCAGTGCAAAACACTCGTTCACAGGTATTGTTTAAGGAAAGGAAAAAGTAATTTTTGTGTTTGTGTAGGTATTTGGAAAACTAATTTGTGGGGATGCAGAACCAACACCAGAACAAGAAGAGAAGAACCTGCTCTCCTCACCTGAGGGTGAAGACAAGGTCAGTACCAGAATCTATTGTGTTTGATGGCTCGTTACAACCATTGCTCAATGCCATATCAAGCGCTGAAGCATAAGATGAAGCTGTTCAATTATGTTACTAATGTTTTGTCTTCAGGCTCCATCTGATGCAGACTTGAAGGAGCACATGGTTGGCATTATTTTCAGCAGGAGCAAACTGACCAACCTTCAGAAACAGGTAACACCATCAAAACTGCGCTCAGCTCTCTATTAAATCAAGCGAGCTGCCTTAAAAATCCATCCAAGATGGCAGAAGAAGTGATAGAAGGGTTGATTATAAATGTACCAATACATTTCCAAAAATAGTTCAGTCTTAGTAAAACTGAATTTGTGCTTTATTAGATTATTATTTTCCATGGTAAAACGAATGAATGCTGAATTAATGTATGAATACACAAAATGCATGATCACCAGTAGGTTTGGAAAAAAAGCATAGCAAGTTTTCTAGGGCTAATTATAATATTTTATAACAATTATAAAATGATTGTTTAGGACATAAATATTCATAACCAACCATTATACAGAAATCATGTTTAAAGGTTAACACTTTGGTAATTCTTACCTCAAGCTCATATTTTTTATTATAACACATCATATTTGAACTGACAGTCACACTTGGTCTATTCACCAAAGTTCAATTATTTCAACGCAACCTCAAATTGGATAAAAAAATTCTGCATATGCTTATGGTTAGAACTCCACGTTGTTTGTTTTGGAGATAGTGAAAAGGCAATTTAACACCAATCCGCTAATAAATCAATTAGCTTTTTCAATTCGTAGATGATTTCGGAGAGGCTAAAAATAGCAAGCTAGCTTTGAAAGCATAAGATCCCACCCTCCCTGCAAATCACTCTCCAAAGCCACGCCTCCTCCAAAACACATGACAGGACAGACCAGAGTCTAACCAGTGACACGACGAGAGATGGTGTTGGTGGAGGGTTGAATGCAAACCTGTCAGATTACCTCATGTTGCATTCACCATTGAGAAAACTTTACAATACAAAGTGCATAATATTACATTAATAACTCCTTCCATTCTCGCTCGGTCTGCAATAGTGTAATGGAACGTGGACCGAGGGATACGATTGGATGAACCTTTTATGGTCCTACGCCTTCCACAGACGATATAAATACATTTATACCACTTAACTTGGTGATTGCTATCGTGATGTGAAGAGACTTTCAACCAGCATAACAAATTATGGTACCAAATCATACCCTGCCTGTCAAGGGATAGTTCACCCAAAAATGAAAATTTGATGTTTATCTGCTTATTCTTTATCCCCAGAGCATCCAAGATGTAGGTGACTTTGTTTCTTTTTAGTAGTGTTACATCACCGTGAGTCTATATAAGCATCGTTTGCTGCTTTTGGGATCTGGTAGAGCATTTGGAGTCAGAAACAGTGACACATGACATCAGACTTAAGCGTATTGTGAGTCCAGTCTCCGGTGCTTTTCGTGTGAGGAAGGGAATTTGTAGAGCGTTCTACATCCATTACTTATGAGGTTCCATTTCAGGCAGTAGACAGCCAGCCTTTTCCTGTTCCCAAGTCTCTATAAATTGCCTCTCTTAAAATGCCAGTTACACCACACCTCACTGTTTGCCTCCTCAGGTATGTGCTCATATCGTTCAGGCCATCCGTATGGAGGCCACACGTGTGCGGGAGGAATGGGAGCACGCCATTTCCAGCAAGGAGAACGCAAACTCTCAGCCCAGTGACGACGACGCCTCCTCTGATGCTTACTGCTTTGAGCTGTTGTCTATGGTGCTGGCCTTGAGTGGATCTAACGTTGGGCGGCAGTACCTAGCCCAGCAGCTCACCCTACTGCAGGACCTCTTCTCCCTCCTTCACACCGCTTCACCACGCGTCCAGAGACAGGTTTGTGAATGCATCGTGAACTGCTAGTCTTGAACTTGACTTTCTAGAATCAGGATCTGGAAAGCAGCACTGTTCTTGCCACGCAGGTGACGTCACTACTCAGACGTGTTCTTCCTGAGGTCACTCCCATGCGCTTGGCCAGCGTCATCGGCGTAAAGGCTCTACCACCAGCAGACATCAGTGACATCATCCACTCCACCGAGAAGAGCGACTGGACCAAGCTGGGCATTTTAGATATGTTTCTGGGCTGCATCGCCAAAGCCCTCACTGTGCAGCTCAAGGCGAAGGGCACCACTATAGTTGGCACAGCTGGCATGGCTGCAGGCAAAGGAGTCACTACAGTCACCCTACCCATGATCTTCAACTCGAGGTCAGCTTGCTTGCATTGTGCCATTGTTAGATTTCATTTGAAAATGACACGGCCCTGCATCATATTTGCTGAATGAAATCCAATACTTGTTTCTTCGTAATTTAGGGGTGTTGATTCCAAAAATAGTGCCTTTTTTTGCTCTTGCACATCACACATTTTCGCAAAATATGTGCATTTCGTTTAATAAAGCTTTCAATTTTTTCTGAACATTAGAATGTGTCCTGTTTAATTTACTGTTTTTTGTTTTTTTTTGGAGAAAAAATAATGACTGTCATACATTTTTATGATGCAAATCACTTTTTTAAGATGCAGGGCTGAGTTATTTAAAACGCAGGGTCTGAAATGATCATAAGGGTCTGAAATGAACTTTTTAGGAATATATATTTAACTTTCTGTTGATCTTTTTGTCTGTTTGTGCAGCTACATACGGCGTGGAATAAGTCACTGGTGGATGAAGGGCTCCACTCCTCCTCAGATCGCTGAGATTATCATTAAACTTGTCAAAGACATGGCTGCTGTGAGTAATGATGGCTCATCTAATCATAAACACCATTTTTGTCTTAACATGCAGCGGATTTGGTGTTCAGCTTCATGTTTGTGAATGAAATTATGTATAATCTTGCACTGTGTAACTTGATCTCCTGCAGATGTGTTTTAATGAATTTACAGAAATGGTCCTCCATCATTTAAGTGTCTTTTTACCCCAGGGCCACCTCTCGGATGCCTGGTCCAGGGTGACTAAGAATGCTATTGCTGAGACCATTATTGCGCTCACTAAGATGGAAGAGGAGCATCGCTGTCCAGTGCGCTGCATCGCCACCACTCGGGTACGATTTAGTGCATTCACTTCATCTGTCACAACTGAACATTTGCCAACTAGTGTCAGTATTACTCAGGATCCTTCAGCTGGAGGGATCAGGGGTGACTGGTGGGTGGAGTTTACCACCATGTGATCTTACACAAATCAGCAGCAGAATGAAATGCAATATCACTTGATTACTTTTAGGCTCCCACAGTCATGGAATCCTGGAAATGTGTACATCTTGAATTTAAATTTCAAATTGTTCTGCTTCCTCTCGTCAGCTATGGCTCGCATTGGCCTCTCTGTGTGTGCTGGATCAGGACCACGTGGACCGACTGTCTTCAGGACGCTGGATGGGCAAAGACGGGCAGCAGAAGCAGATGGTACGGCACATTGGGTCTAATAGCTACAAAGCACAATCAGTGCAAAGGTACATTAAGTCATTCTGCCGAGAATGAGCTCTTTACCTCTTCGCCCTGACTTTTAATTTGCAGCCCATGTGTGATAACCATGACGACGGAGAGACGTCAGCCATTATTCTGTGTAATGCTTGTGGAAACCTGTGCACTGACTGCGACCGCTTCCTCCATCTCCACCGCCGCACACGGACCCACCAGAGACAGGTGAACCTGAATGCCCAAACATATCGAATCATCTAATTACTGTCTGGTTGTCCATATGACATCCTGTTAAAAATACACACAGGGGACAGAGTTAACGTATTAAATGCTGCTTTAAAAAAATATATGGTACCAAGAGTATTACGGTATATCATAATAATAGTTATATAAGAAAAAATATGTATATATTTGGTTTTATGTTCTACATTTATGTTTTGTGCTTCTATAAAAGTACTGTAAGAATTGTTAATGAAATTACTATGAGAAATAATTATGTGGCGTTTGAATTAGAAAAAGGATCATTTTAAGTTTCTCATAACACATTCCATGGTATGCGCAGGTCTTTAAGGAGGAGGAAGAGGCCATTAAGGTGGACCTACATGAAGGCTGTGGTAGAACCAAACTCTTTTGGCTCATGGCATTGGCCGATTCGAAGACCATGAAGGCCATGGTGGAGTTCCGCGAGCACACAGGTGACTTCCTCATTTCATAATAGTGTTTCATAATTTAGAGAGAAGAGAAGAGGGGCAAGTGGGAATGTTGCAAATGGGACTCAAACTTTGTCCATATAAACACTGCTGTGTTCATTTTCATTAAGACAGTATTTGCCCTCTAAATTTTTTAATTGAATTTTTTTAGAGCTTTATTTTTCAAAACCTCAAAAAATTAGAGCATGGCACTAGCAACAACAAGATCATTGGTTCTGTTCCCAGGGAAAGCAAGAACTGATCAAATTGTGTACCTTAAATCCAATGCAAGTCATCAAATGCATAAATGTAAAGGTAAATTTAATTCCAAGTCAGAACAGTTATGCCTGTTACATATAAAATAAAAAATGTATATACAAAATTAGCTGCAAGTAACGTGCAAGATATCAAAACACAATACATTTTCTGCAATATTTTAATATATATTATATTTCACATCTCTTACTGTAGATTTTTAAATATTGACTTTAAGGTTTTTGGAAGTGTTTTCTTCATATTCAGAGTTTTCATTTTTTTATTTATTGGTTTATTTATTATTAATCCCTTTATATTACCTACACCATCAACAAAACTTAACCTGTGAGACTGTAAATACAGCTACAGGTCACTACAGTGTCTACAGAAGCACTACATAAGCCTGGAACAGAATATTATGAAATATGATAAATGTTAGATAACAGATAAAAAAAACTTCTTTTGCCCCCACAATTTAAATACCTGCGGCATTTTTGTCACTATCGGTGGCATTTGTGCCGAGCCCTGCGTAATTTTTCTAGGCCACAGCTGTGACATGTCCTATTTTCAGTATTCTTCTTTACTTGACTAGTGCCTAGTTATAGCTAAAATGGCATTATTGTACTGTCCTTCAGGTAAACCAGCATCCAGCAGTTCAGACGTCTGCCGCTTCTGTGGCACCAGGAACGGCACGGAGCTGTCTGCAGTAGGAAGTGTATGTTCAGACCAAGACTGTCAGGTATTCACTGTCAAAATGTCACTTTTTTTGGTTTATTTATTATTAATCCCTTTATATTACCTACACCATCAACAAAACTTAACCTGTGAGACTGTAAATACAGCTACAGGTCACTACAGTGTCTACAGAAGCACTACATAAGCCTGGAACAGAATATTATGAAATATGATAAATGTTAGATAACAGATAAAAAAAACTTCTTTTGCCCCCACAATTTAAATACCTGCGGCATTTTTGTCACTATTGGTGGCATTTGTGCCCTGAGCCCTGCGTAATTTTTCTAGGCCACAGCTGTGACATGTCCTATTTTCAGTATTCTTCTTTACTTGACTAGTGCCTAGTTATAGCTAAAATGGCATTATTGTACTGTCCTTCAGGTAAACCAGCATCCAGCAGTTCAGACGTCTGCCGCTTCTGTGGCACCAGGAACGGCACGGAGCTGTCTGCAGTAGGAAGTGTATGTTCAGACCAAGACTGTCAGGTATTCACTGTCAAAATGTCACTTTTTTACACTGTTAAATGTTTTACTGGAATTCAGTGATCTCACAAGCATACTGGTGTATAATTCTTGTGTAGGAGTACGCAAAACTGGCCTGCAGTAAGACTCATCCGTGCGGTCACCCGTGTGGAGGGGTCAAAAATGAAGAGCTGTGTCTTCCCTGTTTACATGGTTGTGACAAAACCGCAGCCTGTCTGAAACAGGATGCTGACGATATGTGTATGATTTGCTTCACTGAGGCTCTGTCTGCTGCTCCAGCAATCCAGGTACAGCAGAATACTGTCACTGCGTGTGATGGCATAAAGAGGATATAGAATTACATGCAGGAGATTAGCATGTAACTGTCTGTCCTGGTTTATTTGCAGCTGGACTGCAGTCATGTGTTCCATCTTCAGTGCACAAGAAGGGTTCTGGAGAACCGCTGGCTTGGGCCCAGGATAACCTTCGGGTTCATGTCTTGCCCTATTTGCAAGGTAAATAAGCTAGTCTGGACTCACTTTGAGTTAAAGGTCGGACTGAATGATTAATCAGAATAAAATCTAAATCACACTATTGCTTAGTGTGATTATCTAATTGCAAAGATTGTATTTTAATTAGACATGTGCGGAGTCAAAGTGAAGGACAGCACTGTGTTCATTTACACGTGAGCAGCTCATAATCCAGTGTTTTCAGAGTCTCAGGGCAAGCTCAGTTCACAGTAAATAAAAAAACTTATTTGGGAACGCAACATGCAAGCTACAAGGGCTCACTCACTCCACCAAATAAAAGCTTGATGGTTTAATGTTTGAAAATCAAGTAATTAATACATAAATATTGGTATTGTAATTTCACAGTTGTACAGTAAATTAAAATAATTATTTTTCTTAGGTACTTGATTTTTACTTGATGAAATAATAGTAGAACAGTAGTAATTGTTCTTAGTTTGTTTCATATTGTAATTTAATAATTATTATTATAATCATAATCAAATAATAATAGCAAATATAATAATTAATATTTTATATTTATATAATCACAAAATATATAGGGATGCCCCGAAATTTCGGCTGTCGAAAATTATCGGCCGAAAATAGCATTTTCGTTTTTTGGCAGAAAGAGGAAAAATGGCCGAAAATATATGCAGCACCGCCTAGCAGTGTTCAGCGCGCAGATTTCACTCGCCATCGCTCCGCTCAATAATTCGCTCTATGAATGTGCGTTCTGTTGAGTTGCTCGTGGCCTATATAAACGCTCCACTCGTGTACCGCTCATGCTCATTGGAAAGTCTGCTCAAATAACGCACCGACTAGGGGTGCAACGGTTCAACTTACTCACGGTTCGGTTTGTATCACGGTTTCGGTACGGTTCGGTATGTGCTATGTTTAGGGAAAAAACTATATTGTCAAATAAAAATAATGAAAATAAGAACAAATAATCTAACTACAAGCAACAGCACAAATTAATACAATAGAGCAAAGATACAAATAAAATAAACAGTGCTTTTCAGGTTTTTTATGTAGGTCTAACATTAGTTTTTAGGTACAGAAATTGAATAAAGTAATCAAATGTAAAATAACATTGCATATTTGACTGTATAAATTAAAGAT